GGTTTGTCACGGCATTAATCAGCGGCAGAATGCATTGTCGTTGCTAGTACACGTGACGCACATTTACTGCCATGTAAACCATGGTAGACAAGCACTTCTAGGAGTAAGGTCTGTCGAGTGGGCCTTACGCAAAGGCGTGTTTGCACATTGACTAATTTAGCAAAGTTGGCGAAGACGTAACGGGCAGGTGATGTCGAGCCGTCCTCCCCAGGAAAGAGCTAAAGGCCTTTGCTTCAGGGAATAGGAAACTATGAGCATGACGCGTGAATTGCTTTCGACATCATTTACGTCGGCATGCTATTACTCTCCACGTAGCCATTCTAGAGTAACAGCAGGGAGGGGCTTAGCGTTCAATGCCTTCAGCTCTTGTCTCACGACCGAGATCTTGCCGCGTCCTTACTGTCATAATTTTTGTAAAAAATGGTTGACCCATTTGACAGGCCTGCTCTTACTCAGTTTTGACTCTTCAGACTGCCATGGGCAAACGCGCCTCTAATTGAGTGTGCGAAATCACAATGGCAAAAATAGACGTGCGTGGCTTGGTTGTGGAGTTAGTGCGGGCGCACAATTCCTTTTCTTGCTTCAGCAACACTCCTTCTGCTTTGCTTGCACAGGTTCCTGGGTGAATGGTTGTACTCCAGCAGCCGAAGAGGCGTTCAACCTACCCTAGTAGATATCTGAGGATGTTGGTGTTGCTAAGTTGCTGTACAGCAACGTTCTCCTTCCCTCGAGTGCTTGATTGGGAACACTTGTTCCGGGAGAACGCAAACTAATGATCTTCTGGGTGCCTTGCGCGACAGAAGCACACCTACGTACTTTAGTGCTGTTGAGAGTAGATAGGCCGTCAGAGTAGCCTCGGGTAGTTTTACGGATTGGAGTTGGAGCATTGTGATTTAGCGCGTATGAATGGGTCCGTGGGGCTGCTCTAGTGGACGGCACCATCAGGCTTCTGTTAATAAACAGCAGTGACAACGTGCCGGAGAACGAGTGGTGTGTTGTGACAGGATATTGTCGCGCCCAAACAGATTCGGCTTATTTGCATGTTGGCGCAGTCCCTTTGGTCCTGTTCACTCCGTGATGCGTGTACACCATGACGGTTCCGGTGGACGCAAATTGACATCTTCTGAGCTGCTGAATGCGTCATTTTTTGTCACACTGGAGCTCCTGAAGAACACTGCATGCCTATTATGTGACTGGCACCATAGTATGCTGACGCGATGTCCAGCACTAGGTGGCCAGGATATGAATGTGATGTATTGACGCCCGCAGAAGTGGTTCGGCGGGTTCGATTACATCCGACATAAAGTGGAGTATACGTCTACATGTCCCAGCGACATACTGCCCTGTGCATACTTGCAGGTGATTTGGTCTTGGTGAATGTACAATTTAACTGTCTCTTGTAGGATTCGCACGAGGATGTCTACTTCAACGACGCGGGACGTCTTTAATGGCTTATGCACGTCAAATAACTGCCTACCGACGTTCATGGAGGATGAAAGACCTAGCGTTTCTGTATTGTCATGTGAAAATTGACAATTACACGCTCGCCACATTTCCAGTGCAGTCTTCTCTTCATCCGCATGAAGGTTGAGTTGAAGAGGGGAGGGTGGGGACGCAGTCGCTGTCTAGGATGAAGGTTCGTCCCACAGGCTATTACGACCTAGGGGGGAGGGGGGGGGGCAGGGCACATGCCCTAATGTTAGTGGCAATAGGTACAGGTTGCCAGTCCTCAGCACTCCGCGGCATGTGACTGTTGCGATTTCTGTGGACTAACACTGAGACGCCTCCTGCAGTTGAACTGCCATGAGGAACAACAGCCGCCGCCCCGTTGGCTTGTTTTCTGGTTATCCTACCGTGTCTGGTGTAATTACTGGAAGAACGCCTACTGTAGAAGGGCAAATGGCGCATAACGTGTCCGTGCTAGCGTGGTTACTGGTTGACTAATTTAGTGTTAATGCGGCGGAATCAGTCGGTGTCACGTGTTGTCTCGCACTACTGGCAGTTTAACCACGTAAACTATGCTGATCGGTAGTGATGTCGGGAGGAGGGGGGAAGGGGAGTGGGCTAGATGTATGGCCGCCACTGGGCACTATCCGCAGAACAGGCGGACCCTTAGTGTACAACGGGTCGAACGTACGGAGATCAAACTTCTTCCTCATCCCTCAGTGTTTGTGGAGAAGACACCAGCTAGGCATCTCTTGCCGTTGGCATAGGCGCCTTGTA